TCAGTGGGAGGAATAGTGCCCCCTCATTGGTGTCAGTGGGAGGAATAGTGCCCCCTCATTGGTGTCAGTGGGAGGAATAGTGCCCCCTCATTGGTGTCAGTGGGAGGAATAGTGCCCCTCATTGGTGTCAGTGGGAGGAATAGTGCCCCCTCATTGGTGTCAGTGGGAGGAATAGTGCCCCCTCATTGGTGTCAGTGGGAGGAATAGTGCCCCCTCATTGGTGTCAGTGGGAGGAATAGTGCCCCCTCATTGGTGTCAGTGGGAGGAAAAGTGCCCCCTCATTGGTGTCCCCTCATTGGTGTCAGTGGGAGGAATAGTGCCCCCTCATTGGTGTCAGTGTGAGGAATAGTGCCCCATCATTGATGTCAATGGGTGGAATACTGCCCCATCATTGGTATCAGAGGGAGGAATAGTGCCCCCTCATTGGTGTCAGTGTGAGGAATAGTGCCCCCTCATTGGTGTCAGTGTGAGGAATAGTGCCCCATCATTGGTGTCAATGGGAGGAATAGTGCCTCATCATTGGTGTCAATGGGAGGAATACTGCCCCATCATTGGTATCAGAGGGAGGAATAGTGCCCCATTGTTGTCAGTGGGAGGAATAGTGCCCCAAGGGCTGAATAAAGGCAAGCCAAGGGCCACATTTGGCCTCTGGGAAGCAGTTTAGAGACCACCGGTTTTGGAGTATCTGGGTCCAGTCCTGGACGCAACCCAGGCTAGAGGAGACTCCATGATAGCAGATTCAAGCTCTGTCTAGGAGTCATAAGACTCTTCACTTTTGCATTAGAGTCCTTGGTCTGATGGTAACCTCCATGGCAGTTCCATTTGTCAAGTTTTATTTCATACCTATACAAGGCACTATTCTTTCATGGGGGAAAGTCAGTCAAGTCCCTGTCAGACCGATTCATTTGGCACAAAGTTGTCCCTGGCTCAGAAATCCGTCTCTAGAATTGCAAAAGTCCTTTTTATTCTTTTTGGAAAATCCTGATGACAGATACTGATGGGGTGAAGTCCTGTTCACCTACAGAGGACTTGGTCTTTGGATGAGTCTTGTCTGTTTAATATTCTGCAGCTTCTGGTGATCGGTCTCTGGAGCATTGGGCCATCCTGCTGGAAGGTCATTCGATCTAGAATTCAGTCAGACAATGCCATGGTGGTTGTGTATATCAAGAATCCGTAAGTCTCTCCATTGCAAGAGTTCTAGATCAAATCCTGTCCTGCCAATGTCACTGGATTAGCAGGCAGACTTCCTTGTCTGGTAATGTCTGGACCCAGAGGAGTGGTCCCCATCCCTGGAGGTGTTAGAGGATTTGTGTAGCAGGTAGTGACATTGAATGTGGACTCCATGGCCTTCATGTTTAACAATAGGGTGGACAGGTTTGTCTCCAGGTACAGAGATCCTGTAGTGGAAGCAGTAGATTCTCTGTGGGGTCAGTATACTCTGTTTTCTGGTATGCTGATCTGGTAGGACTTCTGGTAGACCGTTGGTGGACTCTACCAGATTATCTGAATCTTCTGTCTCAAAGACCAATTTGCCATTCAACTTTATGGTCACTGGCTTTAATGGCATGATTGTTGAAACATAGGTTCTGAGAGACCTGGGAATCTCTGAATCTGTGACTTCTATAGTTAAAAAGTATGAAGTCCACGTTCCTCAAGGAAGGAAATTGATAAGTGGTTTTCAAATATCTGAAACGTGTGGCATGCATTTGTATTCAGCCCCCTATACTCTGATACCCCGAACTAAAATCTAGGGGAACCAATTGCCTTAAAAAATCCCCTAATTAGTAAATAGAGTCCACCTGGGTGTAATTGTAATTTAATCTCAATATAAGTACAGGTGTTCTGTTAAGCCCTCAGAGGTTTGTTAGAGAACATTAGTGTACAAACAGCATCATGAAGGCCAAGGAACACACCAGACAGGTCAGGGATAAAGTTGTGGAGAAGTTTAAAGCAGGGTTAGGTTATAAAAAAAAAAATATCCCAAGCTTTGAACATCTCACGGAGCACTGCTCAATCCATCATCTGAAAATGAAGAGTATGGCACAGCTGCAAACCTACCAAGACATGGCCGTCCACCTAAACTGACAGGCCGGGCAAGGAGAGCATTCATCAGAGAAGCAGCCAAGAGGACCATGGGAACTCTGGGAGGAGATGCAGAGATCCACAGCTCAGGTGGGAGAATCTGTCCACAGGACAACTATTAGTCGTGCACTCCTCAAATCTGACCTTTATGGAAGAGTGACGAGAAGAAAGACATTGTTAGAGGAAAGTCATAAGAAGTCCTGTTTGCAGTTTGTGAGAAGCCATGTGGGGGACACAGCAAACATGTGGAAGAAGGTGCTCTGGTCAGATGAGACCAAAATTTAACTTTTTGGCCTAAAAGCAAAACGCTATGTGTGGCGGACAACGAACACATCACCCTGAACACACCATCCCCACCGTGAAACATGGTGGTGGCAGCATTATGTTGTGAGGATGCTTTTCTTCAGCAGGGACAGGGAAGCTGGTCAGAGTCTGCAAAATACTTGAGACCGGGGTGGAGGTTCACCTTCCAGCAGGACAATGACCCGAAACACAGCCAGAGCTACAATGGAATGGTTTAGATCAAAACATATCCATGTGTTTAGAATGGGCCAATCACAGTCCAGACCGAAATCCAATGGAGAATCTGTGGCAAGACTTGAAAATTGCTGTTGCCAGATGCTCTCCATCCAATCTGACAGAGCTTGAGCGATTCTATAAAGACGAAAGGGCAGAAATGTCCCTCTCTAGATGTGCAAAGCTGGGAAAGACGTCCCCAAAAAGACTTGCAGCTGGAATTGCAGGGAAAGGGGGTCCTACAAAGTTATGACTCCGGGGGGCTGAATACAAATGCCGCCACACTTTTCACAGATTTATTTGTAAATAATTGTTGAATCCCATTTCTCATTTTCCTTCCACTTCACAATGATGTACCACTTTGATTTGGTCTATCACATCCAATCCCAATAAAATACATTGACGTTTTTGGTTTTAACATGACAAAATGTGTAAAATTTCAAGGGGTATGAATACTTTTTCAAGGCACTGTAGTTCATATGGAGTGGCTTCCACCCTAGGAGGAGTTTCTCTTTGGAACCAATTATTTTCTTCCTGTAGCTGGGTTTAGACTATTCTAGTTCTTGGCACTATCAGAGGTCAGGTTTCTGCTCTTTCTCTCTTGTTTGAGACCATTCCTCAGCCTTCTGTTTCGGTTGTTGGTTCTTCAGGCAGTCCCCAGTCTTCCCAATGAGGCCTGTAGCTGTTTTTTTGTCGGGTTTCTTGCCCCTCAGTTTGACAGCTTTTGGAATTTCCGACTGTATCTGAATTCTTTTGTCTCTTAATGAATAAGAAAATTAGAATTTTCTACTTGGCGTGAAATCCCTATCTTGGAGTTCATTGGGGCAGAGGTTCCATTTTTTTTTTTTCCTATGCTTTGTACTGCTTTACCATAAAGCAGAGGAATGCTTGGTAGAGGAGGGTCATACTGGGGGCTGTTGTATCATTTTTCTGCTTGCCAGTGTCCAATCTTCATGTAGGTGGCAGTATAACCTGAATAGCTGTGTCCCTCAATGAACTTCAATATATTCTACGGTAGGTGCAAAAATCCCTTTTATTCAATACATCTCTGTAATACATACAATTTACCCATGTTTTATCCCTGCAAGTATAGAAAAATACCTGCTGATCTGCCAGAAATATGCCCAATTTCCTGTTGTGCATTCACAACACAAAGATTTTCTGGCCTAAAATCACAAAGATTGGTGTCAGCCCTGCCCAGTTGTCTTTTGCTTAGCTATAGAACATCTCTACAACAATGGAAGTGTTTTGTATCCTATGATAAGAACCGGGAAGGCTGATTAGACTCCTTGAGATAAAAGTGTAGTGTGCATGGGCTTTGAATTCCTAGCGGGATCAACTCTTCTACTTTTCATGCACAACAGATAAAACTATCTGTTGCATATTTAAAAGACTAAAAGGGAACATTTAAGACTAGTTTATGGTGAGGGTTTTCATACATTTGAATACGTGGACACCCCCTTCAAGTAATTGAGTCCAGGTGGTTCTAGTGAAAGGGTACTGTTAATACTGCGGAATACAAGTGCATCAAGACAGTTGAGGTCTTCCAACCTTGTGTTAAGTTTGGTGAAGACCTTTTTCTGTTCTAGAATGAATATGCCGCTGTGTTCAAAGCCAGTTCCATAAAGACATTGTTTGACCAGTTTGAGTGGAGGAACTCAAGTTACCTAACCTCAAACCTACTGAACACCTCTTGGTTTGCCTACGGTGAGCCAGATCTTCCCATCCAACACCAGTACTTGACCTCACAAGGATTTCATGAGTTTGGTGTGGAGGAACTCAACTGGTCTTCAGAGTCCTAACCTCAACCCTACCCAACGCCTCCTAGAATGAATTGGAAATCTGTGCCGGGTCTTCTCATCCTCAGGACCTGACCTCACAAATACTCCTTTTTGGCTGGATAGGCATACATTCCCATAGGCATACTCCAAAACACCTTCCCAGTAGAGTGCAGGGGGTGTTATGGCTGCTAAGGAGGACCAACTCCATGTTGAAGGCCATGGTTTTGAAATGGGTGTCCAACAAGCTGATATGGGTTTGATGCTCAGGTACCCACAAATGTTTGCCTATATAATGTATCTATGATTATCTTAAAGCATTAATAATCCAAAAAAGAAATCCTTTATTATATTGCAGCGTACTACTCTTAGATGTGGTGGTGGCATTTGTTTCCTTTTTTAGGTATCTTTCCTTTATTTTCACCTGGTGATCTGGCCAGTAAGTCTGTTTTTTCAAAAGAACAAGCTCTTTTGCAGATGTAGCAGTTACAGGCAGTCAGTGGTAAAGAGAAGCATCAGTTAAATTTCATATCTGAACCAGTTATTCACTTAAAGATAGAATTCCACTTCTCTGACAAAGCTGATCCACCTGGAAACATTGTTTTTTCTTTTTCTTTCCTGCAGCTACGCCAGAGAGAAAACCCAAAAACAATTTTCGAGACTTCATCCCAGTCGTCTTAAAAAGCAGAACACGCAGCCAGACAGGTAAAATAAATACATAAAATAGTCTCATGTACTAGCTGAATTAATGATAGGGAGAAGAAATTGTGGTAATGGATTCACTGTTTTTAGCATTTTATATATTTTTTCTCATCCATTGAGAGACACAGGAATTCTTTAACACTTGGGTTATACTGCCACCTACAGGAGGATTGGATACTAGCAAACTGTAGGCCAGCCAATGATTACCCCTCCCACTACCAGCATGCCTCAGTTTTTGCTAGTGTCCTAGGAAAATGGATGTTGTTTCTTCAGCTCTTATTTGTTGCCAACACCCAGTTTTCTTCTTTGGTTTTCCTTCAGTTGAGACTTTTTTTCTATATTTCTGCTGTAGCTTTGTCTCTGTAGTTGCAGCTCCCTGGTTCGGTTGTCCTCAGCCTGGCTATAATCACCTCCCGCCCGCCATATAAGGTAATGACGGGCGCAAGGCGGTTCTGTCGTTCTGGGAGGACGTCGCATGACGCCCTCCCATTCTAACCGCGCATAAGAGGCTCCGGTAGCGTGCATCGCGGCGCTCGATGGTGCTCTGTGTCTCTCGGACACAGCGGATCACCGATCAACGGAAAGAGCCGAAGATGTTGTCTCGGTCATGTGATCAGCTGTGTCCAATCACAGCTAATCATATGTAAATAGGGAAATGCCGGTTATCGGCATTTCTCTCCCCACAAGCTGTCACGCTGACAGAGGAGAGGAGAGCCGGTAATCGGCTTTACTCAGAGGGGACATGTACACTGATCATCAGGGCACTGATGATCAGTGTGCCCTGATGATCAGTGTAGCCCCAGCAGTGCCAGCTGTCAGTATCCATCAGTGCCACCTGTCAGTGCTCATCAATGCCACCTGCCAGTGCCATGCCACATATCAGTGCCTACCAGTGCACATCAATGCCACATATCAGTGCCCATCTGAGCTGCCTTTCAGTGTTACCTATCAGTGCCAGTCAGTGCCACCTATCAATGCCTAACAGTGCCGCCTAACAGTGCCGCCTAACAGTGCCAGTCAGTGCCGCCCATCAGTGCCATATATGAGTGCTGCCTTTTAGTGATGCCTGTCAATGCCCATCAGTGCCTCCTCATTAGTGCCCTTCAGTGCCACCTATCAGTGTCCATCAGTGCAACCTATCAGTGCCCATCACTACAGCCTCATTAGCGCACATCAGTGAAGGAGAAAAATCACTTTACAAAATTTTATAACAAAAACTAAGAAAAAAACTTTTTTTTCAAAATTTCCAGTGGTTTTTGGTTTGTTTAGCAAAAAATAAAAAACCCCGAGGTGATTAAATACCACCAAAAGAAAGCACTGTCACAAAAAAATGATAAAAATTTCATATGGGTACAATGTTGCATGACCGCGCAATTGTCATTCAAAGTGCGACAGCGCTGAAAGCTGAAAATTGGCCTGGGCAGGAAGGGGGTATAAGTGCCCTGTAGGTGAGGGGTTAAAGTACTGTGTGCGGACCTCACTGAGTTGTATGTTGTGGGGATAGCCTGAAAATGACTGTTGGGCACTGGGTTCTGTGTAGGGCACTTTCCAGACTCAATTCTGGTAAAAATTGGTTGCGGAACACTTTCTGGGTCTTGTGTTGCTGGCATTACCTCAGCACTTGCCCTGTTTCTGAAGACACACAGTGAGTAGGCCAATTGGGCCAAGCACTTGGAGCTACCTCAATTACTTCTGGGCACCTTTGCCACAGAAGGGGTTAATGCTATGGGACTGGACGCTGATGTCCTCTTTTAGATGAGTGTTGCTCACGCACCACATTCTTTTGCATCATGCAGCTTTGATGAAACCTCTTCCCCCTGTGGCTCCTATTTGCAAATAACCATGTGGAACTTCGATCTTTAATCTGTTCTGCTGCCTGCCTACAGATACCTTGGTGTCCCCCAGCCATTGGACCTCACCTGCTACCAGCCGTTTGGGGTTTGTGAGTACCTGAGGCCTTGCCCTGAACCCCTACATTGCACTTTGACCACATGGTCACATGTCAGAATCTATAACACAGGGTGACAGTCCATCGGTACTGGGTGACCCCAGATCAGGTTCTATGAACAGTTCTGTGACTGCTTGCAGCATGCCTAGTGATGGTGCCAACAATTGCAGCCTGGAATCCTTTCTCTGCTTTTAGTCTTTTTCTTTCCTTTGAGTGCTATTTAGCTCTGTTTGTGGAGACTGTGCCTTCTCCCCTCTCGGCTGTGGTTTTTACAACGGTCCTTCAAGACTTGTTCATCCAACTCGCCCATATCTGCTAACTCTTGCCCCAAGTGCACTCCTATGCCTCTCCTGCAGAATCTTTATCTGATTTTGCCCATGGCCGTAGAGACTTCTGAGCCATCACCCATAGAATTGGTCTGATTTGGAGTCACTGCAGTCTTTGACTGATGGGCTTACCCCAAGGAGTGGCAGTCTACAGCTATTCCTCCCAAGTTAAAGGTAATCGTTTGACGACTCTTAACGTACTCCACACCCTTCCGAAGCCAGATGTTCAGCCTTGGGCTTCTACCAGTGCTGTTTCCAGTCTTGGGTCATTTAAAATTCCTAAGGCTGTAAAAATCTGCCTTTTTTAAACCCGATTTTCCAGCTATTCATCTGTGGAAATTGGAAATCACCTCATGTGGATCCATCCCATATTATCAGGGCACTTACTATTCTGGAAGAGAATGCATCTGTTTTTAAGGACCCAACCAATGAACAACTGGAAGCTCTTTCTGAAGCTTTAATCTCGCTGACCGGTCCTGTCCTTCATCCGACCTTAACTGTGTCTAACCACTGCCAAGGTTGACCCCTTGCTTCTAGAAAGCATGGAACCGATGTCTGTAGCGTTAAATGCTGGAAGCCTCCCATCTCCTCTCTTACATGTTTTTGGTGTTTGGTATATATGCATCGGCCTCTATTTTTAAAGTGCTGGACCACGCAACCCTTGCGTAAACAGTGTTTGATGTACATGGCCTTTAAGGGGAAGCATCTCTGCAGACCAGCTCTTTACAACATCACCAAGGGGGCTCTTTGTGGCAAGGAACCCATCATCCTCAGTCAAAGAGTCTTAAGGAATAGACTGCAAAGTCTTCTGCTCTTTCTGTTAAATGTTTTTTTTCGTTTCCCCACTTCCTTGGCCTCCTTGTTGACAACCCCCAAGCTTTGCTCCCAGCATTCTGCCCACAAATACAGAAAGGGACTCAGCAACTGCTCTCAGGTTGTTACTCCATGTGGAGAGTTTAGTACTGGTTCTAATATAGATCTGTAAAGTCGCTGTGTTTCTCCCAAGTTTTATCCTTTGTTGAGACCCGATGAAGAGAGAGCGGTGTTGCCCCCGAAACACGTTGGCTGTTTCCTATGACTGTAGCAACAATTAAAATTATCTTGTACTTTTATCTGGGTTTGGTGTGGCACTCCTTTCTGTATTTCTGTGGTTTGAGCTACAACCAAAGGGAAGCTCGCCAGAGCTGTTGAGCTTGCTTGAAGTTGTCCTTCATCTCACTTTATGCGTGCAAATCTAAAGATTCCTAGTTCTTCATTTCCTTGCAACCACGAGTCTTGCCACTCAGGTTGCCAAATTTTACAGATAATACTTCCTCTGCATTAAAGTGGATCTTCACCCTTAAAATAAACTTTCCTCCTCTACACCAGCTCCCCTCACCCCATTACACAATACCTGAGAGATATATATATATATTATTACACACACACACTATTGCCAAAAGTGGTACACCACCTCCGTCCAAATCATTGGATTCGGGTGGTCCAATCACCTCCATGGCCACAGGTGTATAAAATCATCACCTTGGCATGCAGACTGCTTCTACAAACATTGGTGAAAGAATGGGTCGCTCTCAGGAGCTCAGTGACTCCAAGCGTGGTCCCATGATAGGTGGCCACCTGTGCAATAAGTCCATCCGTGACATTTCCTGGCTACTAAATATTCCACGCTCAATTGTTAGTGGGATTAGAACAAAGTAGAAGCAACTGGGAACAACAGCAACTAAGCCACCAAGTGGTAGGCCACGTCACATGACAGAGCGGGGTCAGCGCATGCTGAAGCGCACAGTGCGCAGAAGTCACCAACTGTCTGCAGAGTCAATAGCTAAAGACTTCTAAACTTGGTGTGGCCTTCAGATTAGCACAACAACAGTGTGTAGAGAGCTTCATGGAATGGGTTTCCATGGCCGAGCAGCTGCATCCAAGCCTTACATCACCAAGTACAATGCAAAGCGTCGGATGCCGTGGTGTAAATTGTACAATGGTGGGATGCCATTATAGTTCATGTGGGTGTAAAGGCAGGCATCCTAGGACAATGCTGCTCCTAAAAGGTATTGCTCCTTCATCCAGTGTGGGATACAAAAGAAAAACCGAAGGCAGCCGCCACATCTAATGACCTGCAATATACGTTTGGGGTTTAAGGTCCCTTCTAGGACATCTTGTAGGTCTCTGTTCCAAGGAAATTCCTTGTTCCTATCGATTTTTTTTTTTTTATTCAGTGAATTAATATAGAGGGCTCTGCTGACATTAGAATGCTGTGTGTGTATTTGTGGGTATTTGTGTATAATATTTGAAAGTTTTTGTCCCGCTCTTCATCTTCCCAAATTGCCTACGCAAATGACATGCAGTCCCTTGGTGCCTCCTGGGATATGTATTCGAAAAGACACCAGGAGCACTACAGTCATTTCATTAATTATAGCGGGGGGGGGGGGGGGGTTGGTGGACCTAGTGGCGCATCATCGGGAGATGGCACCTGAACACAGAAGACCCGGCATCCTCCTGCTGACGTCACAGGAGAACATGGCGGCACAGAATCTGAGCGACTGTTGCAGAGAAGATGGTCTCAGCAGGACAGTATTGGATATACTTGGTGGAGAATGTCTGAACTGTGCAGATCACTGCATCAGATAAATGGGAAAAAATAAATTGGGGGGGGGGGGGGGGGGTGAAGTTGCTCTTTAAGGTGTTCATTAACCTTTGCATGTGCTTGGATAGCCTGCATCTCAAACACTTTGGTGCAGAAGGTGGTATCTACTACCAGTTTGTGGTCTTTCACACACCTTGGTTATTTATCAAGGTACTAGCCCCTATAACTGCTGTATTCTCATGACATCCCCATTCCTTCCTGTGTTTCGGGGGATCCTCAGGAGTCCTGAGCACCCTGTCAGTGCAGAATACTTGATGATAATCAGCAGTGTCTAATCCAGGGGTGGGCAAACTTTTTGACTTGAGGGCCGCAATGGGTTCATATATTGGACCCGGGGGCCGGACCAAGAGTAGATGAATGATGTGTATGTGTCATCCATAGTAAGTATAGTAATATTCCCCCATAGTAAGCATAGTAATTAATCCCCCATATAGTAATTCATCCCCCATATAGTAATTCATCCCCCCTATAGTAATTCATCCCCCATATAGTAATTCATCCCCCATATAGTAATTCATCCCCCCTATAGTAATTCATTCCCCATATTAATTCATCCCCCATATTAAGTCCCCCCTGTGTCAATTTACTTACCTTTGCTCCGCGCGTTCCTCTTGCCGTGTTCCCGCGCCGTTCCGGTCTTCAGGGCGGACTGTGAGAGGAGCCTAGCTCCCCTCACGATCGTCATGCTGCCCCGCCTACACACATCCTGACAGCCATCCTGACAGTATCACGCTCCGTGGGCCGGATTAAAAGGTCCGCCGGGCCGTATACGGCCCGCGGGCCGTAGTTTGCCCATTGCTGGTCTAATCTCTTGATCAACATCTTGGAACTTCGGGTGATTTGACTTTCTCTGCAGCATTGGACCATCTTACTGGAGGGTTGTTTAGTCTGGATTAATTTCGACAGTGCCATGGCAGTGGCATACATTCACCATCTGGGAGGAATCAAAAGTTTTGCTGCAGCATTCAAGATAGATCAGATCCTTTACGCTCTAGCCTCGTCAGCCATGTACATTGCAGGCAGGGACAATTGGCAGGCAAACCTGCGTGGCTAGCCACTCCTAAATCCAAGGAATGGTCCCTGTACCCTAGATGTGACTTTTGGATGTCCAGGTTTGCCGTTAAGTACAGGAATTCTAGTTGAAGTAGCAGATGCTCTGGTGGCTCCATGGAATCAGTACACCATGAGCTATGCCTTTCATCCCCTGAAACATCTTCCTCATCTGCTTCGCAGGATCGAGATGGAAGGCATCCCAGTTATCCTCGTTGCTCCAGATAGACTCAGGCGTTTGAGTTATGCAACCTGGTAAGATTGTTGGCAGACGTACCGTGGGCTTTACCAGATCACCATGTTCTCCTGTCCCAGGGACTGATTTTCCATCCCTCTTCACGTTTGCAGACTTAAGTGGCCTTGCAGATGAAGTCCAGCTTCTGAATTAGTCATTCCAGTGATGCTAAGAGCTAAGACATCTGCTTCTCCTAACCTCTATCTTTTGACATCGAGGGTATAATTCGCTTGGTGTGACTCTTGGCTTCCACCCCATGAGTTTTTCCAGGGGTGTATACTATCCTTCCTGCAGTAAGGAACACTGTTTGGCTCTCCGTACTATCCAGGGTCAGAATTCTATTTTCTGTTCTATTTCAGAGACCATTTGCCTTTCGCTCTTTGATTAGAACCTTTGTAGAGGGGGTCTGCCATGTAGCTGTCCCTGTTCATTCTCCTGTGACTCCATGGAATCTAAATCTGGTTCTCTCTAAGCTTTAGAAACTGCAGTTTAAACCAATTGGAGGCGTTTCTTGTAGCCACTACCTCTGTGAGGTGGGTGTCTGAACTAGCGTCCCTTTTCTGTAAGAATCCCTATTCGTTCTCCATAGTGACAAGGTGGTGTTGAGATCTAGGATGACTTTCTTGTCCTGTGGTCTCCAAACTGCGGCCTGGGGGCTGGATGTGGTCCTTTGCTTGTCTTCATCTGGCTCTTGGGGGCACCAACTGATATCAATGATGGGGCACCATTCCACCGACTGACACCAATGATGGGGCACCATTCCACCGACTGACACCAATGATGGGGCACCATTCCACCGACTGACACCAATGATGGGGCACCATTCCACCGACTGACACCAATGATGAGGCACCATTCCTCTCATTAAAACCAATGATGAGTCACTGGTGTTGGGGCATTTTCTACTCCCACTGTTCACAGTCTTGCTCCCATAAAGCCTGAAGGACAGTAAACTGGCCCTTTGCTTAGAAAGATTTGAGACCCCTGTTCCTGTTTAAGGTCATTTCTGCCTTTTCCCTCCAACCAGGACATTGGTAAACTGGAGCCAGAAGAGGAATGGAAGAGCAAAGGGAAATGAGAATCTCACTCAGCCAGTTCTTCTTTAAGGAAGGCTTTTTGTAATCCCAGATTGACCCTTTAGGCATGCACCAGTTTAGTGTCCCACCATCTTTTGGTGACTCAGGCAAACCATAATCCAAGTTTATATTCTCAAGGATTGGGTTTCACAGTTTCCTGGGCACTCTACTGGATTTCTGAGTGCTTCTTGGCATCAGACAATTGTTTCCCAGATTTGTAAGGCCTCCACCTATTCTCTGTTAAGACATTCTCTAAGATGAGCAAGTCTCAGGAGCGAATACGTTGTAAGACCCTTTACAGTGCATACCAGGCTGAGACAACCTTGTCCATTCGAGCCTTTGTAAGTTCCATCCACAGATGGGACCTGATAGCTTCCACTGCTAGGCAACAGCGGTGCCGTTGTTATACTGCACTGACTATAACACGGCTCACATGTATCGTATAGTTTCATGATCACATTGGTTTATAATCCTTATTTTATGGCACATTTGGTGGTTTTGTATTATCTGTGTTGAATATTAAATGTTTTTCTCAGGATTATGATCTCCTTGCGATGGTCTGCATTGGGTTGACTGCAGGGGGTGCGATATAAACCTATTTGTCTGCTGTCACTGATTTACCTTGAGAACGGAACCCTGGGGGGGCCCCGACTTTCTGGCTTTATTTGACAAATATGATGTTCAGGAAATGTGTGGGCATTTTTTATTGGGGTACTAATGACTCTACTAGGGAAAGGACCCTAGCCCTGATTCCTTCGGGTGCAAGACTTTTGACAGAGACTGGGGTACTTGGGGTCCAGCTGGCCAAAACCAGGTGGGCCCCATTCTTTAGGGTACTTGAAAAGGCAAGGTCCACCCAAGTACTAGATGGGACTCCCCCAAAAGGAGATCCCACCGGAGGGTATGAAACTGATAAGGCCCCATGCCCCTTCCTCCTTCCCTAAGACTTTCAGGGCAAATCCGAGGATCTACACCCTGGGAAGCAAGACTCCTGACAGGGACTGTGGTACTTGTGGTCCACCTGGCCAAAACCAGGTGGACCCCATTCTACAAGGGACCTGCAGAGGCAAGATCCATCCAAGTACTAGGTGGGGCTCCCCCTAAGGGACACTCCATGGGAACGTAAGACCCTGACAATAAGACCCTTCCTTAAGACTTTCAAGGCAAGTCCAAGTCCAAGGTGTGCATGTTCCAGGACATTCTTAATGTGGTTGTAGCCTGCATCGAGTCCATCCCCAAGCGCAGGAGCATTTGTGTTTGCTGGTTCTTTGACCTACACCCTGGGCTAGACCGCAATACTCCTGACAGGGACTGCGGTGTTTTGTGGTCCACCCAACCAAAACCAGATGGACCCCATTCAGGGGACCTATTGAGGTGAAGTTCATCCATCCCTTTCCCTAAGACCTATAACCTACTAATTAGGCGTGAGTAAAGTGGCAAAAGTGTTCTGCAAAAAAATGCAAAAAAATTAGGTGTTTAGAGGTGCCAAAGTCCAAGACATTGGCTGGCCAGCTGGTAAAAAAAAAAATCCTCTGGTCAGCTCAGGAGGTACAAGCCTTATAGATGCCTACCTCATTTCCTGTCCAAGACCTGCAATGGGAAGTGTGCAGAAAATAAACTTTCTGATTCTGATTTTCCTCATTGGGGAGATTTCCTTCACTTCCTGTCTGGTCACTGGAACAGAAAGTGTGGGTAAAATATCCCCAGTAGAAAACACAGTAGTACAAAACCTGACAGGTTCTAACCCATCCCCAATCTGTGCATAATACATGAAAAAATATATATTGGCTGAAGGTCCTGTTAACTTATTCTTAATCCTTTTTATAATGAGCAAAATTTGTGAAAATAATAATTTAAAAAACACTATGGTAGTATTGCTTAAAATTCGTGCAAATGCGGAGTTACATTTCTGCATCGCTTTTATCCTGCCAGCAGGTAACTTTGGGTTCTCTGATATTGTGACGTCATCCACAGAGCCTTTCCCAACCGAGGAGGAGGAAGATGAAGAGGAAGAGCAGACGGGTTCCCCGTGCAAAAGACGGAAAACAAGGCGACCGTATAAAGGGTGTCGGACTCGCAGGTTCGCCTCCATTAAGGAGGAGCCCGAACCGGAACTGATCACCCCGCTGCTGCAGGATTCCTGGGAGATGTCCAGCAGAGGTCTCAACGCTGGGAAATCTGCGACCATCTCTGAACCGGAAGACGAAAGGGGCGACGACGGCACGTTAAGGCGGAGGAAGAGGAGGAGGCAGAAAAACCGAAAATACCAGAACGGGGAATATCTGACGGAGAAGGAGGAAGAGGAGGTGTCTCAGTGTTTCCGGAGGAGACGGTCCCGGACAGGTGGGTCTCATTGTAGGTTCTGATATATGGATGTATGCCAGAGCAGTTTTTGCATTTTTTTTTAAATGCACGTTAAAAAAAATAATTTTTGGCCCGAAGACTAAACAGAACCCCCAAAACATATATTTTCTGAAAGCAGACGCCATAGAGAATAAAATAGCGGGAGTTCCAATTTTTTATGTCCCACGATATTACCGCAAAGTTTTAGGAAACTCAAAATTTCAGTAAAAAATCACACTCAAAATGAATTTTAGGGCAAACAAACACAATACTTTACCCAAATATTTTGGTAAAATATAAAAGATGAGGTTGCTCCGAGTAAATAGATACCCAACATGCCAAACCTTAAATCTGTGTGCGCCCGTGAAATGGCGACAAACTTAAACGCCACCCTATATTTTCTATAGGCGACGCTTCAAAAACCCCCACAGGTTGTCAGTTTAGTGATGAGGTCATGTCCTAGAATTATTGCTCTCACTCTGGCATGTGCAGCAATATGCAATGTGTATCGCAATCAACATTTTTCACACATAGGCACCCTGCTGTATGCGTTTGTTAACACTTGTATATGTGTGGGGGTGGGGAGGCCTCAACATTTTTTTTTTTTTTAAGGAGGATGTTATGTGTAACTAAATTTTTTTTTGCAAAAAATAATTTTTTTTTTCCTACCTAAAGTGGGGCTCCACCCAAAAGGGGAAGTTCCGCTTTTAGCGTTTGTACCCCGAATTTGACAGGTACCCGCTCCCACTTCTGCTGCGATTGGGAGCGGAAGTTGTCCAAACCCCCCCCCCCTCCCTCCCTCCCCGTACTCTTCTGGAACACATGACAGGTCCCAGAAGACTACGGGGCCATTCACAAAGCGCAGCGCTTATCATGCATGAGCAGTGGGCACCCGGATGTGAAGCCGCAAACTGTCATAGCCGGGTGCACACAATGAAGATGCCGCGCCAGGGAGAGAAGGCAGCCGGTGAAACCAGCGGTGGTGAGGACACCGCTGGACCGAGGGACAGGTAAGTGTCTGTATTTTAAAAGTCAGCAGCTACAGTTTTTGTAGCTGCTGACTTTTTTTTTTTTTTTTGTTCAGGTGGAACTCCGCTTTAATTTCTATTTTCATCACATATGGAACAGGTGATGATTTTTAGGTGACAGGTTCTCTTTGATGAGGCGTGCAGGGTCTAAAAGATGTCAAATGTCTCCTCTGGGCTCCACTTGATGTAGATTGCAATGACAGCTGTGAACCGAAAGTGACGTCACTTCGCTTTCCGGGTCACAGAAAGAAGGGGAGGAGAGCGAATGTTCGTCTGCTCACCCCTCTCCCCGCCATGACTTTCCCCCGGGCCGCAGATGAGCAAGTGAAACACAGATGCATGGCGGGAGCGTTCAGGGGGGTGCACTGGTTCCAGGGGCTGTGGAAGCAACCCTCCTGCACCTGACAGGCAGGCAGCTGCCTGTCCGTTTTAGACACAATCCCAGTAGCTGCAGCAAGCTGATTGTGTATAAACCCCATGTCCCTCTCCGCTGTCAGGGCCATACGACATACAGACCTGGCTGCGAAAAGGGTTAAATAGAGAATTAAAAAACAATTATATATTCATTCCAAGGGAATAGGTAAAAGAACATTTCTAAAATATGAATCTCCACTGTTACGTTGCTATAATAGTAGCCTTTATGTCTCGGGGATGGCTATGAGTGCTGTTATTTACTTGTATTCCCTCCCTGTCCAAGCAGACATGACTGCAAGCTGACACTATTTGGGCTGCTGGAGAAGGGTAAAGCCTTCCTATGGCCTGTTTTGTAGCAGAACTGCTTCCTTTCCTATACAATTCTGTGCAATAAATTTGATAGAATGAAGAGGTTGCCGGACGCATCGTTGACAGTCCATTTATTTCAGTGAGGTTTTTTTTTTTTCCCTGTAACAGCCAACATGTTTTGCTTTCCCAATCTCCCTTCATCAGGGTTGGAAGAAAGCTGGATGCTGAACAGTATCATGCGAAAAGATTTTTAAAAATTTGTATGAAGGGCATGCTCCGGTTGCTAGTCTAGCAGTTGACCCGCTTTCATTTTTATGTCCCTGGAGTTGGAGTTTAACCCTTTTTGACGTAAAAAAAAAACGACGTCGGTGGCAGCGGGGGTTTTACACACTCCGAGAAGCTTCAGCCCGAACGTTTCCACACATCCCAGTAACGGCCAACCCATCGTGTTGCTTTCCCCAGCCAGTATGGCCAAGGAAGAAGCTGACGAAGCGCGATTTGCATTCCATCAGCTTCCTTGGAAAACAAGTGAGACACCATCTTTTAGACCCCTGATTTCTCATAAAGAGAACCTGTATACCAAAAAATCACCTAGTGGACTTTCTGTCGCCCATGTGATTTAAAAAAAAAAAAAAAATTACTTTTTTTTTTTTTTCAAGTGTCAAACAATTGAAGTTCCACCCAAGCACTTAAAATCCTCCATCTACCCCCTTACATACATACATGTATGTTACGTAAATGCACGCACTAGGGGTGCCTACGCATGAAAACAATTGTGCCGCGCATGCCAGAGTGAGCAATAATTCTAGGCCCATTATTCATGGTCCCCTCTAAACTAATGACCTGTAGCGGCCTTAAAAGCTTCGCCTATGGAAAATATAGGGTCCTGAAGTGTTGTCATTTCATGGGTGGAGGACGCAGTTTTAAGCTTTGACATGTTGTGTATCTATTTACTCGGCACAATCTCACCTTTTGTTTTACCCTAAAACTGGGTAAAATATTGCGCTTGTGTGCCCTAACGTTAACATTCGTGTATTTTTTTTTTTTTTTTTTTTTTTTTTTACTGACATTTTGCATTTCCTAAACCATTGTATGAATATTGTGTGACATAAAAAATTGGAACTACTACTGTGTTTTTAATTTTATTCTTTTCATTTATCTTTATTGCGATCACAAGGGAGTGAACGAGCCCCCTTGTGATAGCGTGGGGCAGGTAACGGGTGCTCTTTATGGAGACATCAGGGATCTATTAGACCCCTGATGTCTCCCTTGGCCTTCAAAGCAGCTGATCAAACACAGATTGGGTTTGTTTTACTAAAACTGGAGAGTGCAAAATTTGGTGCAGCTGAACATGGTAGCCAATCGGTTTCTAGCTTCAGCTTTGACAGAATAAAAACTGGAAGCTGATTGGTTTCTGTGCAGAGCTGCACCAGATTTTTCACCCCCAGTTTTAGTAAATCAACCCCATTGTGTTTGACTACTTTTCTGGCTGTAGCAGCCAGGGAATGACAGCTCTGAAACCAGAAGTGACAAAATCTTTGTTGCTTCATTTGTCTCAGAGGTCATGAGGGGGGGAAAGTATGTTCCTCCATCTTCTCTGTGTGAAGCTGCTCTGACTGAACAGGGGATCCCAGGGGAGAAGTGGGGAATCCTTCCCAATGCTTTAAAAGCAATCAGGTGGCTTTAAAGTCGCCCAGATCACTTTCTATAATGATAGCCGATCACTGGCTGAAAAATGCGATCCTAGGATCATGGCTGCAGCCACAATCCTAGTATAGCCACTTGCTGACAAAACGTTTTAGTACATACCTCAGTCAGCTCATGGTTGAAGATCAGTGTTGAAGTAAGTAGCTTGGAGTAAAAAAAAAAAAAAAGGTCTTGCATTCATTGTGGTTGGTATAAGGGAAGTTTAGGACAGGGCTTGACTAATCCCAGGTCGCTATGGTGACCAGAAACCACGGTACGGAGCCTTGGCCCCTGCCAGCCCACCAACCTGATCTTCTCCGCCAATCCATGCGCTCAGGGACGGGGCAGGGGACAGAATTGTCAGTGACAGAGATAAGAGAGCCGGGAGGAGTACTCCTCCATGCAGCAGATTACACAGGATCGCTCTTGGCTCGAAACGATACATAGCTAAATTGGAGATTTGGGGGGAGGATTTGTGCTAGGAGGGGGATGGGGGGGGGGGGGCTTGTACTAGGAAGGAGGATTTGTATTGGGGGGGGGGATTTACCTTAGGTGTGGGTATTTGGGGGGGAAGATTTGTGCTAGGAGGAGGGATTTGGAGGACAGGATTTATGCTAGGAGGGGGATTGGGGGGGATTTGTACTATGAGGGAGTATTTCTGCTAGGAGTGGGGGAGAGGATTTATGCTAGGAGAGGGATTGGGGGATTTGTACTAGGAGGGAGAATTTGTATTTGGGGGGGGGGGGGGGGATTTACGTTAGGTGTGCGGACTTGGAGGGAAGATTTGTGCTAGGAGGGGGGATTTGGAGGAGAGGATTTATGCTAGTAGGGGGATTGGGGGACAGGGATTTATACAATGAGGGAGGATTTCTGCTAGATTTGGGGGAGAGGATTTATCCTAGGAGGGGGATTCGGGGGGAGGTTTGTACTAGGAGGGAGGATTTGTATTTGGGGGAGGGAGGATTTACGTTAGGTGTGGGGAATTGAGGGGAAGATTTGTGCTAGGAGGGGGGATTTGGAGGAGAGGAATTGTGCTAGGAGGGGGGATTTTAGAGAGAGAATTTGAGCTAGGAGAAGGAATTTGGGGGAGATGATTTTTGCTGGGGGGGGGTGGCGATATTTGTACTAGGAGGGGCGGGATTTGGTGGGAGAAGATTCTTTGCTAAGAGGGGGGATTTTTGAAGAGGATTTGTGCTAGCAAGGGGGATTTGGTAAGCAGATTTGTGCTAGTAGGGGGGATTTGGGAAGAGGATTTATGCTAGCAGGGGGATTTGGGAGGAGGATTTGTGCTAGGTGGGGGGATTTGGGAGGAAGATCTATGCTAGAATGGAGGATTTGGGGAGAGGATTTGTGCTGGGAGATGGATTGAGGGGGGCAAATATTTGTACTAGGAGGGAGGATTTGTACTAGAAGGGGCGGATTGGGGGGAGGATTTATGCTAGGGTGAGGGATTTGTGAAGAGGATTTGTGCTAGTAGGGGGGATTTGGGAAGAGGATTTGTGCTAGAATGGGGGATTTGGGGAGAGGAATTGTTCTGGGGGGTGGGATTTGGGGGGGGGGGATATTTGTACTAGGAGGGAGGATTTGTACTAGGAGGGGTGGATTTGGGGGGGGGGGAGAGGATCTATGCTAGGATGGGGGATTTGGGGAGAGGATTTATATTGGGGTGGGGGGGATATTTGTACTAGGAGGGCGCGGATTTGGGGGGAGAAGATTCTGTGCTAAGAGGGGGGGATTTTTGAAGAGGATTTGTGCTAGCAGGGGGGATTTGGTAAGCGGATTTGTGCTAGTAGGGGGGATTTGGGAAGAGGTTTTATGTTAGCAGGGGGATTTGGGAGGAGGATTTGTGCTAGGTGGGGGGATTTGGGAGGAAGATCTATGCTAGAATGGGGGGATTTTCAGGAGAGGATTTGGGCTGGGAGATGGGATTGAGGGGGGCAATATTTGTACTAGGAGGGATGGATTTGGGGGGGGGGGGGGGATTTATGCTAGGATGAGGGATTTGTGAAGAGGATTTGTGCTAGCAGGGGGGATTTGGTAAGCGGATTTTTGCTAGTAGGGGGGATTTGGGAAGAGGATTTGTGCGAGGAGGGGGGGATTTGTGAAGAGGATTTGTGCTAGCAGGGGGGATTTGTGAAGAGGATTTGTGCTAGCAGGGGGGATTTGGTAAGCGGATTTTTGCTAGCAGGGGGGATTTGGGAAGAGGATTTGTGCTAGCAGGGGGGATTTGGGAGGAGGATTTGTGCTGGGGAGTGGGATTGGGGGGGCGATATTTGTACTAGGAGGGAGGATTTGTACTAGGAGGGGCGGATTTGGGGGGGATCTATGCTAGGATGGGTGATTTGGGGAGAGGATTTATATTGGGGGGCGATTTTTGTACTAGGAGGGGTGGATTTGGGGGAGAGAGGATTTATGCTAGGATGGGGGATTTGGAAAGAGGATTTACACTAGGAGGGGTGATTTTTGGGGGAAACTGGCTCCTGTTTTTAGCTGGCTCCTAGATTCATAGCACATTTTGTCAAGTCCTGGTTTAGGAGCAATGTGCAGGATATCGTAGAGTGAACGTTTACACAGAATTTATGTTGGTGATGTAAGTGGGTTTGTGTTGGGACACGTAGTGAATCCACAGTATATAATAACAATGGTACTGTTGTCTTCATACTGCAATGATATCCTCCAAGTGGGTTTCAGCATTGCCTGTCCTTGTTTTGCCTTAGGACCGTATAAAAGGAAGTTCTCACCAGACAGGTCCTGTGAGTCCTTCAAAACCAAGAACTCCCCATCTTCCCGGGACAACCGGAGGCAAGGCTTCCCAAAAGGCAGCCCGGAGGACTTCGCCTTGACGCAGACAATAGAAAAACCCTCCGGGAAACGCAAGTGCAAAACGAAACACCTGGGAGGAGGCACAGAGGATAAGAAGGTAAAACGCAGAACGAAGACCTCCTGATGGGTCTGACAGAGCATCATTGCTAGCTGGGGCTTCTATAGAACAGACTTATGGGGAGTTGATTTACTAAAACTGGAGGTTGCAAAATCTGGTGCAGCTGTGCATGGCAGCCAATCGGCTTCTAACTTCAGCTTGTTTAGTTAAACTTTGAAAATAAAACCTGGAAGCTGATTGGTTTCTATGCAGAGCTGCAGCAGATTTTTCACTCCAGTTTTAGTAAATCAACCCCATTGAGTTTTGCCATATAACAAAGATAAATTAAAAACCTGCATCCTCAAAAACCAAAAAACCCCGGGTTGGTATAGAGCAGTGGTGGGCAACCTTTTTTTTTCAACTGAGCCAAATCTCGCCAAAAACCACGATTGAAATTTATTTTGAGAGCCACATTTTTAAAACTGAAAATACATCCCCCATATAGTAATACATCCCCCATATAGTAATTCATCCCCCATATAGTAATTCATCCCCCATATAGTAATTCATCCCCCCTGTAGTAATTTCCCCCCTGTAGTAATTCATCCCCCATAGTAATTCATCCCCCATATAGTAATTCACCCCCCCCAATAGTAATTCATCCCCCCAATTAGTAATTCATCCCCCCTATAGTAATTCATCCCCCCCCATAGAGTAATTCACCCCCCCCAATAGTAATTCATCCCCCCTATAGTAATTTATCCCCCCCTTAGTAATTCATTCCCCCCTATAGTAATTCATTCCCCCTATAGTAATTCATCCCCCATATTAATTCATCCCCCCTATAGTAATTCATCCCCCATATAGTAATTCATCCCCCATATTAATTCATCCCCCATATTGTAATTCATCCCCCTATAGTAATTCATCTCCCCCATATAGTAATTCATCCCCCTATAGTAATTCATCCCCCCTATAGTAATTCATCCCTCATATAGTAATTCATCCCCCCTATAGTAATTCATCCCCCCTATAGTAATTCATCCCCCCCTATAGTAATTCATCCCCCATAGAGTAATTCATCCCCCCTATAGTAATTCATCCCCCCAATAGTAATTCATCCCCCCAATAGTAATTCATCCCCCCAATAGTAATTCATCCCCCCTATAGTAATTCATCCCCCTATAGTAATTCATCCCCCCTATAGTAATTCATCCCCCCTATAGTAATTCATCCCCCATATAGTAATTCATCTCCCCCATATAGTAATTCATCTCCCATAGTAATTCATCTCCCCCATATAGTAATTCATCCCCCATATAGTAATTCATCCCCCCCTATAGTAATTCATCCCCCTATAGTAATTCATCTCCCCCCCTATAGTAATTCATCTCCCCCCTATAGTAATTCATCCCCCATATAGTAATTCATCCCCCATATAGTAATTCATCCCCCCTATAGTAATTCATCCCCCATATAGTAATTCATCCCCCATAGTAATTCATCCCCCATATAGTAATTCATCCCCCATAGTAATTCATCCCCCATATAGTAATTCATCCCCATAGTAATTCATCCCCCTATAGTAATTCATCCCCCCCTATAGTAATTCATTTCCCCATATTGAGTCAATTCACTTACCTTTGCTCCGCCGCAGCGTGTGCTCGGTGTACCCCCATCTACAGGGCTCAAGCAGTGCTGGGTGTACCCCCTTCTACAATACCAAGGCAGTACTGGGTGTACCCCCTTCTACAATACCAAGGCAGTACTGGGTGTACCCCCTTCTACAATACCAAGGCAGTACTGGGTGTACCCCCTTCTACAATACCAAGGCAGTACTGAGGGTACCCCCATCTACAAGGCCCAAGCAGTGCTGGGTGTACCCCCATCTACAAGGCCCAAGCAGTGCTGGGTGTACCCCCATCTACAAGGCCCAAGCAGTGCTGGGTGTACCCCCATCTACAAGGCCCAAGCAGTGCTGGGTGTACCCCCATCTACAAGACCCAAGCAGTGCTGGGTGTACCCCCATCTACAAGATCCAGCAGTATTGGGTGTACCCCCATCTACAAGATCCAGCAGTATTGGGTGTACCCCCATCTACAAGATCCAGCAGTACTGGGTGTGCCCCCATCTTCAAGACCTAAGCAGTACTGGGTGTGCCCCCATCTTCAAGGTCCAAGCAGTACTGGGTGTATCCCCCATCTTCAAGGTCCAAGCAGTACTGGGTGTACCCCCCATCTTCAAAGTCCAAGCAGTACTGGGTTTGCCCCATCTTCAAGGTCCAAGCAGTACTGGGTGTACCCCATCTTCAAGGTCCAAGCAGTACTGGGTGTACCCCCATCTTCAAGGTCCAAGCAGTACTGGGTGTACCCCCATCTTCAAGGTCCAAGCAGTACTGGGTGTAGTGCTTGGTCCTTGAGGAAGGGGGTACATCCCAACAGTTTGTCCTCCAAATGTGGATGTTGGTGTAAATAAAGTATCCCAGACAGTTGTTTTTGTTGAAAGTGCGCGACTGCGGCTACAATCACCTTAAGCACTCAGACTAATGAGAACTTTTTCAGAACTTTCCTCATCTGATGACCTATTTTCTCATCCTATCGTAGGGGAAGGGACGTCGGAGCTTGCAGTCCCCCAAGTTTTCACCTATGAAGTCTCCACAGAAGGGCAGCGAACCCGGGACCCCGCACAGATCTCGGCGCAGCGGTGCTCTGGGCTCCTATGACACTCTCAGCGGTCAGCCCATACCGCCAGAAGCCAGGAAACTGATTGTGAATAAAAACGCAGGAGAAACTCTGCTACAGAGGGCGGCCCGACTCGGGTATAAGGTGGGAGAAAAACTTGTGTGTGTGCGCAGTCCATTCCGTGTGTGCGTGTGCACAGTCCATTCCGTGTGTGTGTGTGTGCGCTGTCCATTCCGTGTGTGTGTGTGCGCAGTCCATTCCGTGTGTGCGTGTGCGCAGTCCATTCCGTGTGTGTGTGCGTGTGCGCAGTCCATTCCGAGTGTGCGTGTGCGCAGTCCATGCCGTGTGTGTGCGCGCAGTCCATGCCGTGTGTGTGCGCGCAGTCCTTGCCGTGTGTGTGCGCGCAGTCCATGCCCTGTGTGTGCGCGCAGTCCATGCCCTGTGTGTGCGCGCAGTCCATGCCCTGTGTGTGCGCGCAGTCCATGCCCTGTGTGTGCGCGCAGTCCATGCCCTGTGTGTGCGCGCAGTCCATGCCCTGTGTGTGCGCGCAGTCCATGCCGTGTGTGTGCGCGCAGTCCATGCCGTGTGTGTGCGCGCAGTCCATGCCGTGTGTGTGCGCTTAGTCCATGCCGTGTGTGTGCGCGCAGTCCATGCCGTGTGTGTGCGCGCAGTCCATGCCGTGTGTGTGCGCGCAGCGCGCAGTCCATGCCGTGTGTCCGCGCGCAGTCCATGCCGTGTGTGTCCGCGCGCAGTCCATGCCGTGTGTGTCCGCGCGCAGTCCATGCCGTGTGTGTGCGCGCAGTCCATGCCGTGTGTGTGCGCGCGCGCAGTCCATGCCGTGTGTGTGCGCGCGCGCAGTCCATGCCGTGTGTGCGCTGCTGCGCGCGCAGTCCATGCCGTGTGTGCCCGCGCGCACAGTCCATGCCGTGTGTGTCCCGCGCGCAGTCCATGCCGTGTGTGGGTGCTTGCATGCACAGTCCATGCTGTGTGTGTGTGTGTAGTCCATGCCGGGGGTGCACAGTCCATTCGGGGGGTGCACAGTCCATGCTATGTGAGTGCGTACAGTCCATGCCGGTGTGTGTGCGTGCACAGTACTTGTGTGTGTGTGTGGGGGGGGTGCATGCACAGTCCATGCCGGTGTGTGTAAGGGCGGGCGGGCTCTGATGGGGACCCTGATGTAAGGAGGGCTCTGGTGGGGACCCTGATGTAGGAGGGGGGGTCTGATTAGGACCCTGATGTAGAGGGGGGTCTGATGGGGACCCTCTTGTAAGGGCGCGCTCTGATGGGGACCCTCTTGTAAGGATGTGGCGGGGCCCTGATGGGGACCCTGTTGTAAGGGCGGGGCCCTGATGGGGACCCTCTTGTAAGGATGTGGGGGGGCCCTGATGGGGACCCTCTTGTAAGGGCGGGGCCCTGATGGGGACCCTCTTGTAAGGGGCAGGGCCCTGATGGGGACCCTCTTGTAAGGAGGGACTCTGATGGGCAGTTTTTTCCAACTTGTGAATATTTGTAAATATACACCGTGGCCCTGGTACTGAAAGTCTGGGAGACCCCTGATCTAAGAAGTGGCTCGTGTGACATTTACGCATGGTTGTGTCTTGCTGCATGCTCCATCAGTTTTTCTGTTTGGGGGGGGGGGGGGGGGGTAAAGGTCTACTTTAAGGCAGGCCAGTCATACATATGTATGTACATATACCAACCTTGAGAGCCAATATTTGCATACGTTCTCCAAGGCCGCTCAGGGTGACTCCGAGCAGACAGGATAAAGCACAAGCTGTGGGCTGATGACGGTCTGATAAATCTGCACGTTGTTTTTTTGTGTTTTTGTTTTTTTCCCCTCTTGCACCCGCCGTCTCTGCACAGTAGAAGGAAGGAATGTGCTGCCATCAGCAGTCTTTGACGTCTTGTTGTCCCTCCTTCCTCAGGATGTGGTGCTGTACTGTCTGCAGCGAGATCCAGGAGACATCAACCACCGGGATAACGCCGGATACACCGCTCTCCACGAAGCCTGCGCACGCGGCTGGACCGACATCTTACAGGTCCTTCTGGATAACGGGGCCAACGTGAACTGCAGCGCTCAGGATGGGACCCGGTAAGTCAAATCACCGCTCTGTACGCCTTAATGGGGATTGAATGAATAGTGGGGGGGATTGTTGCAATACTAATGTAGAGTTGGCATTGATGACATTAAATCTTTTAAATCCAAGCACCTAAATGTGACCTGGTATCAGCCTCTCAGTCTGCTGTACAGCAGAGCTCAGACTGGGAGAGCGAGAAGAGGAACTGTTTGTGCTCATTTGCTGGTTAGGTCTGGTCTATTTTTTTAGTTTATCCACTTCAAGTCCGAACACTTTCACCCCCTTCCTGTCCAGACCAATTTTCAGCTTTCAGCAATATCACACTTTGAATGACAATTGCGCGCGGTCATGCAACACTGTACCCATATGAATTTTTTAGCATTCTTTTGAGACAGATAAAGCTTTGTTTTGGTGGTATTTATTCACCACTGGGTCTTTTATTTTTTTCCTATATAAATGAAAAAGTCCAAACATTTTGAAAAAAAGTTTTTTTCTTATAAAATTTAGCAAATAATCTTTCTTCATAAATCTTGGCCAAAATGTATTCAGCTATCTTTTTAGTAAAAAAAAAAAAACCCAAATTAGTTTATAACCAAAAATTTATAATTTTTCTAAACATTTTTTTACATTTTATTTTATTTTTTTATATTTGTTTTGTTTTTTTGTTTTTTTTTAACACACTGTCACCCTAGCAGTACAGTGTCACCATGGGGACACTGTACTACATGCGGGGGGTGACGATTTTTTTTTTTTTTTTTTTTACACTGATTGCTTTTACGCCCATAAAGGCTGTAAAAGCAATAATTTCTCCTCTCTGTCTGCATTCTTGCAGCCATTGAAAAATACTGAGAGCTGTGATTGGTCACAGCTTGTCACATGGTACAAGGATGTTGTGAATAGCCCTGTACCATGTGACCTCTGTGATCATTCACTCATTTCACACATAGTAAGCATGATGTCAGGAAGTGACATCTTGCTTACTACTATACATGTGATCACTGATTGGCCAGTCAGTGATCACATGATGGGGACCTCACACAGAGGTCCCATACAGCAATCGGTTTTTCTCCGGACACAACGGGCACCAGATCGCGGACAATCGCTGCTTGCGTTCTTGTGGGACCAATGCTTGCGTTTTTCCTTTGCATGCTAGCATGGGGGAATGGGAGCGCTTTAAATTTTTTTTTAAATTTTACACTGCCGCTTTGAATTTTTTTTAATCACTTTTATTGCTGTCACAAGGAGTGTAAACATCCCCGTTGACAGCAATAGGCATGTGACAGGTCCTCTTTATGGAGAGATCTTGGGTCAATAGGACCCCAATTCCCTCCTCTGCGCTTAAAAGCATTTAATCACACCAAGATCTGTGTGATCAAATGCTTCTCATTTATAAAAATGGCGTTGTTTGTGTCCAGGTAAACCGGAAGTGATGTAAGTTCATCGCTTTCGGGTTACTATATCATAGAGGTGAACAGAGCGGTACCGCTTATTGTTCGGCTCTATGATCAGCCGGCAGAAGCATGTCGGCTGGACGGTTGGGTGTCCCGGTGGGATGGGACAAATAGAAAAGAAAAAGAGGGCACACCAGCCTAGCGCATTATCCTCAAGGCCTCACTTTTGATAACAACGTGGTAAGTAACATACAAACCAACAAATAAGTCGCAGCTTATCAGATATAACCGCAAGTTCCAACTCATGTTACCTGGTGGAGTACCCAAGAAGGTCCAACTGGCTGACACGTTTTTGAGGTCTTGCCACTCCCTCAGAGATGGGACCGCCTGCTAAAGTCCCTCCTAAACTCAGCGGCCAGACTCATCCACCTCACCAAGCGCTCCACATCTGCCTCCCCCCTCTGCCAATCCCTTCATTGGCTCCCGATTGCCCAACGCATCAAGTTCAAGATTCTAACCCTGACCTACAAGGCCATTCACAATGCCGCCCCGAACTACATAACTGACCTGATACCCAGATACTACCCTACCCGTGCCTCCGCTCCTTACAGGACCTCCTGCTCTCTAGCTCCCTGGTCTCCTCCCACGCCCAATTGCAGGACATCTCTAGGACTTCCCCCATCCTCTTGAACTCCCTACCCCAATCCATCAGAATGTCACCTACCCTCCTCGCCTTCAGGCGCACCCTGAAAACCCACCTCTTCAGGGAAGCCTACCCCAACCTCACCTAACACCCGACCTCACCTAACAACTCCTCCACTCCACCCACCACTCCACCCACCACTCCATCCCCCACAGCCATCTCCTCCTGTGCCACCTTCCCCTCCCTCCTAGATTGTAAGCTCGAAAGAGCAGGGCCCTCGAACCCCTCGTGTATTGTATTGTTACTGTCTTGTCTCATGTTATGTTCCCTTGCTACTGTACAGCTGAGCAAACCCTTTGGCGCTATATAAATACTGTATAATAATAATAATAATAAAGGGGGTGGGGCACATCCCCTCCCACTGCTTATAGTAGCAATCCAGCAGCTAGTTAGCCGCTCGAATTGCTTTTACAAGAGAACTGACTGTCCTCTCTTAATAGAAAAAAACAAACAAACAAATGGTGGTACGTCGCTGGTCATCAAGTGGATATCTAGGTTTGTAAAGGCAATCGAACACAGTTGACCAGTGGCTAGTTTGGAAAATATTTATAGGAAAGTGTTTGCGCCCGGAGCTTCGCTTTACCCAGTCTTAGTCTGATGGGGGTACCAATAGGGGAGCACGTGATAGGCTGCAGAGCTTTTAAACCAGCTTATTTGTATTAGAAGAAATCTTTCTCCCGTCACCTTATGTCGTTGAACCTTTTTTTTTTTTAATTATTATTCGTGATGTTGAGATGATGCCGAAATGCACAGCACATCCAATAGGAAGTCACATGAGATGCTGAGCTGCTGGTTCTGTAATGCCAGGCATCATCTCTGCACCCCCATCCTGTGTCCCCGTCTGCAGCGCCCGACCTTCCCATCCTTTGGTCTCTCTTCTCACCATCTTGCCCCTTCCACCTTGTCTGCCGTGCTCCGGCTTCAACGTCCCCACAGCCTGATTTCTTCACGTCATTGCTCTCATAGCAACGTCTCCTAATAATGCCTCAGTGCTGCAAGATGTTCTTTTCTCTGTAATGCCTCTGGATGGAACTGCAGTGGCTGGAAAGTGATCCGTCATTATTACGTCATGCTGTATTCTATTCAGGCGTGAGCCTTATTGGTAAGTGTCATTATGCTGCACTACTTTGGTCTCCATTACTAGTAAACGGCTGCAATAGTACACTTCTACTCTTGGGTTTAGATACCTTTTACAGGTGCCACGTTGAATGCCAACCTTTGATACTTTCTTGCCACCCATCTACAGTGACTTTGGCCATGTCAACTCTGCTGGGTGAGGCTGAGTCCTCTATACCAGTGGTCTCCAAACTGCGGCCCTGGGGCGCTTTGATTGCTTTTATACAGTTGTGCTCCCCCCAATGACACGTCACGGTGCTGCACAATTCCTCCTAATGACACCAACAATGGAGCACAATTCCTCCCAATGATACAGATGATGCGCATTGCTTCCTGCTGACATCAAGACCTTTTGTACTCCCAGTGGCCACAGTCCGGCCCCACTAATGTCTGAAGGACAGGAAACTGGCCCCTTGTTTAGAAATCTTGGAGGTCCCTGCTCTATCCTATCGAGTTGGTTCCTCAGACTTGTGGTCACATTCACCCAGTTCCTCACTAGTCATGACTGTTGAAGTACTCGGTGTACCCCTGTGCCTTCCCCTGCAGAGTCTATTGCTGATCTGCCTGCAGCCTTTCTGACCTATTCTGGGTCACCTCATTCTCCACCTGAAGAGACTTTGCTTGAGCTATAGAAGTCTTCTGCTGTTGACCCAGATCTAACAGATGGTTTTGGCCCTTTTCTTGCCTTTTATACTACTTTTGGAGCACTTTTCCTCTTACTGACACAAACAATGGGGCAATATTCCTTCCACTGACACCAATGATGTGGCACCATTCCTCTCGACAACAACGATGATACACTGTTCTCAGCAAAACCAATGAATTGCACTATTCCTCCCACTGACACAAAAAAATAGGGCACTGTTTCTCCCACTGTCACCAAAAAAGGGCACTATTTCACCCACTGACACCAATGATGGGGCCCATTCCTCCCACTGACACGATCAGTGGGGCGCTATTCCTCCCACTGACACGATCAGTGGGGCGCTATTCCTCCCACTGACACGATCAGTGGGGCGCTATTCCTCCCACTGACACCATCAGCGGGGCGCTATTCTTCCCACTGACACCAATAATGGAATTTCTTTTACCCTGAAGGCCGGGAAACTGGCCCATTATGTAGAAAGTTTGAAGAAACCTGATCTAGAGGATCAGTCCACTGTTTTCAGTCTTGGGTTTTTCTGAAATCCCACAGTTGCAAAGACCTTTGCATTATGCATGCTCTTTAAAGTATTCCTCTATGGGGATTGGAAGCACCCTGAGGGATCTTGGACTCCTCTTACTGGATTTGGTCCTGTTTGGGGAAGAAAAACCACTAGTCCAATAGATGGCGTCCTCACATTTAAGGATTGCCTGAACTAACCATTGGAATTCCTCTTTCAAAAGCCATTTTTGCTGGTGAGCCCTGTTCTTCACCTGTTCTGGCCACAAAATTGGATCTCTTCCTGATATGTGTAGAGCAGATGTCTGGAGCTTTAAGTTTCGGCTCTAAAGGCCTGCTGGAGGCTTCTTGGCTTGTCTACATTATCGGTTCATACAGATGCGCAGAGCACTCTGGTTAAAGTTATGGAAGGCAGATACTCCTAAGGAGAATTTGACCTGGTTGGTCTTTGAGGTGCACAACATCTCTTCAATCTGGCCCTTTACATGATCATTTACAGATATCACTGCAGCCCAGAGTGTCCACCTACCTCAACAGAAGAAGTCTAGAGAGAGGGCACAAAGTGCCCTTTAATTTTCCTACTCCTGGGGAAGGCACTCACAAGTCTTCCAAGCCTGGTCCTCCCACCACCCTTTTGGTCAG